GAGATAAAAGACATTAGAATACAATTCTACTTTAATATTTGATTCTGAATTGTAGACAAACATTGGTATATGTGCAGGTACACAAAGGAAAGGAAATACTGCATAGATTGGCTTTTAATTTATCTTTTAATCACCACTTAGGAAATACTTTAATTAAAGCCAAAGGCTATACAAATTATACTTTATAAATAGAGCTGTGTGCTTAAATTTTAAAATTCTGTATTTCATGGGATTTATTCTTTAGTCACCAATTAAACCAGACACATGTTCCCTAGGTTCTTAACTCCACTAAGTATCAAACTTTAAAAGCATGTTATTAAAGAAAGCCTAATTTTAAACATTCCAAATTTATAAAGTAAACAATTTGCATTATTAAAAACTGTGTATGGAAGGATTCTATTTTTAAAGTTTTTAAAATGAAATTAGAAAGGTTTCACTGCCAAGTAAAGAGCAAATGAAGCAAAGAAAAACACTATAATTATGTCACTGAGGAAGCATGATCCAATTTACCAAGCCTGGATTTGTGCTCAATTTTTCAGAAATACATCTATTGAATTATATCTGAATATGACTTTTTCCACAAAAAATAAGGTGAAAAAGTAATACAAAACAGAATTCCACTTGAATAAATACAAGTTTAAGATCTCTAGAATAGTTTTATACTCTCGCTAATTTTCCATTCTCCTTTACTGATGCAGAGGCAAATCTTGTTTGCATGAGAAATCCTTAACAGAAGATTGCGCATTCAGCTATTAATCTAAGACACTATCTTTTCAGGAAAGTGTCACTGCATGGTACCTGTAGTAGAAAATTTATATAATTTTACTTAACTTTTTAATGAAATTGGATTAGCTTTTCAATGCGTTGTGCTTTCTGCTCTTATTAAAGGAGCTTATAAAATGTTGAGGCTAAGGGCAGAGATAAACAGCGAGGTTATGTGGAGAACACAAAGCCTGGAGGTTAATCAACTTTACACCTTCTGTGAATGATGATTTTTCAAAACTACTGTACCAAGACCCTCATCTCACACATACAGCCAAACCACGGTCAGTCAAAAAGCAACACATAGCTGTCTGCAGTTAGTTCTACCTATAATTAACTAGAACACTATCATTTTACAGACAATAAAGTTATACATATTAAAAGCAAAATATCATCGATTAATAAAATGGAAAGAGAAAGATCAGATTTTATTACAAAAACCCTTTTTCTAATTATTTAGCAAAGCAATTCTCGTTTATTTAGGAAGTTATACTGAAAACTGCTATTTCTACTCAAAAAGATGTATTAAAGACATTCTTAAGAAAATCACACTTCACATTTGAAAAACTTAACAGCAAAATCATGGACGGACAGTCCTCGGGGTAGGTAATGTACTGCATAGGAATATGACCAACCTGAAACCCAAAAAAAGGCAACATCTAGCTGTGTGCCTCTAAGCAATGATTTAATTAATCTCTTCTGAATATTAGGTTTATCGGTCAAATGGGATAATAATATCTGTCTCATAGGACTGTTGTGAAAGTTAAATAAGATAAATTATGTATAAATGTTTATCACAGTAGCAGACTAGATTTTTTTCAATTATTAGAAGTACATCCTTCCTCACTCCCCACCTCTGAAAAGAGCAACATGTTTGAAACAGCCTGCCATTTTTAAAATGATACTAACATTTAATGTAATGTTACTCATTCATCTCTCTTCCACAACTGAAAAAAAAAGAGTGTGATTCAAGCAAAGATATATCTAATAATCAATGATATCTTTCAAAATAAGAGAATAATTAACAGGCAGCCTAAACATATTAGCTTTTTTTTCACTGCCTCTTTTGGCACTCTACTATGGAAAGTATACTTAACCTCTGTTGCCCCAAAGAATATTCACCTTAATTTAACATTCAATAACTATCTCTTTATCTAATAAAAATTCTAAGGATCCTATAAAGATGTCAAAAATACTAAATTAATATGGCACTACTGAGGATAATTCCTATAATCATGGAGCTGATGTATAAATTCAACAGATTCCCTTGGTCCCCCAGTACTAAGAGAGTCAGTAATTCAGGATATTTTTGTATCTAATAGTAAATCTGAAGGAACAACAGGAATAAGTAAGTCTACTCCAGACAAACTTGCATATATGATCACCCTACCCACAATATTATCTCTAAAGAGAACGCATCCAAATGGTCTTTTGCTTCAGAAGGAAAATATAGGCACTTTGTTACCTTTCTTTTATTTTGGTAAAAAAAAGAAAGAAAGTAAGCATACCTAGTCCTCAGATCTTGGTTTCTAATATCATTCTCCAATAAACAAAACTTGGGCTACTTGAGAAATGGATGATGATTCTAGAACTGGTACAGAAAATATCAAGATGAATCTGGAGCATCTTGTGGGACTAGAAAGTAAAGAAGAGTGCAAA